AATATAGGACAAAATGACAATTTTGGCCCTCTCCCACATATCTTGAAATTTCAATTAAGTCCCTATCATGGCCAGGCAATCTTTTCAATCTTTTAGGGTCCTTTCAGGGTCTCTCCGGTCTCTATCTGGCCAAAAGATTATTGCTTTCTTGATAGCATGGGGAGACGGTCGTTTTGATATCCATTTCGGACATCGGGTTCTTGGCCATGATTACGAGGTGTAAAATTCAATAGAAACGTAAGAACTTTGATTCAAGATCACGCTTATTTCTCTTTGTTTTTCCACAATTTCTTTGTTGTATTTAGACGAGCATGCCTTCATGAGAATTAGGCAACTAACGTGGCTCGATTTGGTGCTCAAACGGCCATTTTCCAAATTAGGTCTTTTGGTCAGAATTTGGTTTCCGGTGGCCAAAAATTGTAGTAACTTAGTCATCTTTTTATGGTGAATCCAACCATCCATCATTGACCCGAATGAAGCCTCCAATGTTGTGGTCATAACGGATCTGCTTTGAGGTCGATCCGATACGTGAGCATCGTCATGTGGCCATTCGATCGACGAAACCTCTTGCTGTAAAATTCTGCAACAATGCTTTCGATCATGATTTTCTCTCTAGTTTTCCTCCGGCTCAGCCACGACATGGGTCATGCCATATATCGAAACGTTCAAGCCGACGAGACGAACATGCTCTTAAAATTTTGGCTTGAACTGACTTAGGACGAGAGAGATATGACCTTCCAAAGTTCAGCCCGAAATGATAAAACTTAGTTTCCATTAATGGAAGCTGGTTCACTGAGGGTGCATCGCAATAATGTGTGGCCTACCTGTTTTGGGTAAGTTAGCCATGACTTGGTCAAAAAACGTTCAATCAAGTCGAAACTTGAGCCTTAGGGTTTTGTCAAAAATTTTGTATCCAATGGCAGTGGTTCCACATTCGTTTGACGCTCTAGTGATAGGGATGTAATAATAAAGTCAATTTCTAGTGCGCTAGAGGCCTATTTTCCAAAACTGATTTTCATCTGTATTGCCTTAAACTTGTTGGATCGCGACGAAACATGGCAGGTGTGCTCAAGAGACCCTTAAGCATGATCTTGAACCTTCTGGGGTCATTCTGAGAGTGTCAAAAGTTTCACTTCTAGATTAAGGCTTATTATCCTATGACTTCCGTAGTCCACAGGCATTTTGGTAATTGCAGACCTAGGTCGTGAATTACTCTCTCCTTATTCGCATCAGGGATCCAAGTATTGAAAAATATTCTCAAACACATAGTCAACGAAGTGCCCAATTAGGGTGGAGCTCCCACTAAGAGACTCAGCTCCAGTGTTCTGTGGTCAGGAACTTGTCCAGCACGCATCCCCAATATTTTGGGAGCTCTCTTCTACTTTTAGGATTCTCGATCCCGTTCACAATTGAACTCGCTCCCGCTACCACATGGATATCGCTCCCACTGTCCCACGGAACTCCTGAACAAATTAGAACCCCACTCCAAGAATTTTAGGATTGTGATCCCTAAGGTCCCTGAACTCCATCCTTAGGGAGGATCCCACCATGAAACAAAATAGAGCCACCCACCATTAAAATAGTAGGGTTATCCGCTAAAAAACACGTAGAAATTGCTTCTGAGATTCAAAGTAGTTGTTTTAACCGTAATTCTATATGAGTAATTTTTTGGTACTCCAATAAAAATGTTAATTTTCTTCTCCAAATATCGGTGGGGTCCTGGTTTCCATCCACATGGGGATGAGGAAACCCTCTCTTGAACAACCGCAAAGGTTCGGCATGCGGTGGATGTGCGGGCCCTCCTGCTTGTGGATAGGAGGCCGATGGTGAGAGAGATTTTTACGACTGGAGAGTGAATCGCTCTTATGCCGCTTGGGGGTTCAGAGATGCGCCTGAACGGATAACCATCTTAGAACAATTACGATGCCCTCCAGCTGCTTTGTCAGCGTGGTTTGGACGGGAGCCCTCCTTAGGTTCTCAATCTCTCTCCTCTCACTCTCTCCGTGCTATCGGGATGGGAACCTATGTCCCTCCTCCCTAGATGCCCTTTCAAGCGGGGTTTGCTGGCTGCTAAGAGGGGGGGCGGTTGTTGGTAAACGTCTAGGGCAAAGGCCCACAGGTTAGCACACGTCGGTGGGCTCGCGGACGGGCATGGACTGTCGAGCGGACAGGGTCACATGCACGAAAGTGGGAGGAATAGATAGATAGATAGAGAGAGAGAGAGAGAGAGAGAGAGAGAGAGAGAGGAGTAATGACTCAGCTTAGGAGAAGTGGGATGACTCGCCCGACCGGGGTGTCCGTGGGACCGCACACTCAAGGGTACCCTCTTTCTCAATGTTTTTTCTCTCTACCTCTCTTTCCTCCCCCAACTGGACTAGGGAATCACAGAGTAAGACAAGACAACAAGAATAAACTAGCCTTGATGCTTCTCCGCCCTTGGGGTATCGGAGCCTTCCAAAAGGGGGACTTTTGGAGCGATTTTCTGAACTTTTTTACAATGAGCTAAGCTTGCTTATATCGAGGATTCACCAAACAGGGGTGAATGCTCACAAGCTAAGTTTAATTACAATTAAATAAATTAAAAACAAATCCAAAATTTAGGTGCAAATGACCAAAATGTCCGTGTTATCTTTTGGCCGAAAGATGAGACTATCCCTGCATGCAGGCTGCTCCACCATGGGAAAACCTTGGAAGCTGGTCCTACAACTTGCAGCAACTGTTCGGCTTTTTCAGCAACATATCTGCGTTCTTCTTTCGATTGTGAGAATTTTGATGCCCTTTATTATGTTGTGGTGGCCTTCTTCCCCGGGGTGAAAGTTCGGTCAGTTTTACGAACTTTGTTTGTCAGTGCGTCTCCGAGCTATGTCGTTTTAGCTCCTGGCTTTGCTTGGAAGTCAAAGAGGAGGTCGTTGCAGTTGTTTTGCTCCAAGTTGGGGCTGATTTGGTGCAGATTTGTGGCTTTGCCTAATTTGGAAGGTTGCCGGAGAAAGGGATTCAAGCAATCGACTGGATTTGCTTCTTTGGTGACCTGAGGACTTGCATCCATTGAATAAGGGATTGAATGAAAGAGTTATACTAGATTGTAGCTCTGTACGAGGTGGTTCTTTTGAACTCATCCTCGCGTTAATGCATGGCCTAGATTTTGAGCTATGCTTCACCGAATCCGGAGCTTGTTGAATTCCTTTTTTATTTTCTTGGTTTCTCCGCCTTCCTTCTCAAAGCAATGGGGGATCCTGATCAAGCCACAGTGAGTGCCTTAGTTCAAAATGACGGGGCCGATATGATCTAGAACATGTCAACGTTTGAGCTCTGTCTGATTTCAGAGAAAGGCGTAATGGGTTAGAGAAGTTGCTACCGGAAAATGTTGGCGTAGTCTCCATTTCTGGGATGGGTTTAGTGAAGCCGCATTGTGTTGTGGTAAAACCCATAAGTTGTGAGGCTGCATGAGCATAGACCCTTCTAGAGGGGTCAGATTGAGCCCAAATTTGGTCCTCAAGGGTTTTTTGATGTTCTGAGTACAATGGCGATGATCTGGTGCCTAGTTGCAATCACTATCATAGGGCTACAGTGAAGGTTCTTCTTTGGTGCAAGGGCATCACAACCAGATCACTAGGCTGGAGGCTTTATTTTTCAGCACAAACCTGGCCTGCAGGTGTTTCGTGAACCTGCGAGACCAAGCTGTCGCCGACTCTCTCCTTATTCACGTGAGCTCATTGAGGTATGTCAAAAATGATGACAACATTAATCCCTTACAAATGTTTTTCATTTGAATTCCTATAGAAAACTAGTCACCTGAATTCTTGAATTCATCAAGGCCAACTTTTATAACATACCTAAAATCTCCTTGTATATTAAAGATTTCTTGGTTTTCCTATAAAATTAACAGCTTCCCATTTGATTTCCCTACAACTTGCTTGAGTCTTTCTAAAAAATAAAGGAGCTCGAACTCTTCTCTTCCTCTGTCAAGGATATCACAAAGCTTCACAACCATGGAGCTACTTGCAATCCAATGAACTGTTTTTCATCGAAGATTTTAGCCATTTTCAAAGCTTGTTTGGCCTTTTGGAGATCGCCCTGGAGGTCCCCAACTACTAGCAAGCGAGATTGAGATGGGTATGTAGATTTTTGTTGCTGTTAATGTGTTCTTGAAGTTTGAGAGAGAGAGAGGGGCACATTTTGGCCGATGGGTCCATTGGAGTAGGGGGACAGAGGTTGAAGAGGTGGTGAATGTCTGATCAAGAGAGAAAGATAGAGAGAGTAAGGAAGAGAAAGAGAATGAGGATAGGTGGAGATTGGCTCCAAGTTAAGCAGAACACGATCCAACCTTGAATGGAGCTCGATCCATTCAAAATAGGAACATATTTTTCTTATATGGGGGCACGACTCAACTTTAAATGCGATCCCGCTCTTACTGTCTATGGGAGTGCAATCTTAATGAGCATGAAAACACAATCCTATTTTACATGAAACGCGCTCCCGTTAAATAAGGACCTCGATCCCAATGTATCGGGAACGTACTCCATTTGTATACGGGATCTCAATCCGCAACTTTTAACCTCATCGGAACTCGCTTCCCCAGCTCCGAAGCTTTAAGCAGCCCTCGATCCAACAGTCCCGCTCCTGAAACCGGAGCCGTTCCTAGGTACTATGGTTAGCAGACGTTTTATCGTTTTCAACTTCCACGAACTACCCAAAGTTTCGTTCACCTTTCTCATTCTTTTGTATATTTATGACGAAGTGGAAAAACTCAAAGAAACTCATTACTTTAGAATTTGTATCGCAAAACCATCCGGAACCGTCCATATATGAAATGTGAAGGCTGACTGTCACTTTCAATGTGGGGAGAGGGGAAAATTGGGTAGAATAATGCAATGCACTCAACGTATCCGTTTTCTCAATATGTTACATTCTTTTATAACTAAACATAGGCAAAGTGTTCAGTAAAAGGCAGAGTCCTAGATACATTCTGATAATTTTTCTTGGATGATGCACCAGGGTACCCAAACGAAGTTATTGTGAAAAATGGGCATGGTAATAATTGCTGATCAAATATGGACAAACATTGTGGTGACATATTAACTTGAAACCACATACTACAACATCTGTACAGATCACTTTTACTATGTTTTTGCCATAACAAACATCAATGAGCACTGATGTCTTAAATATTGAAAAAAAAATTAAATAGAAAATAATAATAATAAAATCGACTTGATCGAAGTCCTCGGACTCAATTATCGTATGTCAATTCACAATTACCACTATGACCCAAAAACCATAAATAGTGAGCTAATCCTTACCCAACCGAACCCAAACCCCACGGCTAGGCGACCCACCATGGACCAGAAACAATAGATAATAACCAGGAGGCGCCAACACAGCTGATACTGGAGGCACACATTCAACCCTGTAAGCCCCATCATGCCCACCCTCAAGCCCCATCACCCTGAGAACCAATAGCCTCTGGTTCATAGAAACAGAGTGCGTAGTAAAAGAGGGAGCAACCATTGTCACCAAAATCTCATCCACACCTTTTGTTGATTGTTTTCTCGAGTAAAAGTTTATATAGAAATGTTGGGTATACGACATTGTTCTACCTGGTTTTAATGATGTGATTTTTGGCCTCGACCACTTCAGCTTGATATAAGGCGGTGAAAAGAACTCGAGGCTCAGCTCCGTCGGGAAAAGGACACCGGAAAAATTGTATCCCCTATTCGGATTACTTCCTCCCACAAGGACTCGACCATCGGAAAGTAATTGGGCTGAAGAATGATAAAGCCTTGGGGTTGAAGATGGGCTCAAAACCTCAAACCGATGGCCTATCGGTGCATCGGGTTTATAAAGCACAGGGCACAAAACCGGGTCTCTTCCGACTCCCCAGCCTGCTGTGCCCTTTCCGGCTCCATTAATAATGAGAATTTCACCTGTGGGAAGCATTACCATGTCACCCATGACTCTTTTTAACGGCATTGTCTCAATGCTCCATTCCGGGGATTCGTCGGTTGCTTTTATTCGACCACATGTTCTAGAGGCCGGAAGGAACACGCCTTTGTTGGCTTGAAAATTAGAATGCGATGGTGCACCGCCACAAACAAGGACTTCAGCATCCACTGGTTGTGTACTGTTTACAGCTAAAATGAGTGGGAGCATTGTAGAGGAGCCAGTGCTTGGGTAATTTCGTGACTCACCGGGTAGTGCAGGAAATGTGCGTACGACGCGGTGGGTGATGTAGTCAAGGGAGATGGCCTTGGTGTTTGCGAACAAGAAGAGGGTGCCATCAGGCAAGAGATGGAGAAAAGGGTAGAGATTGTTCTCACAATCATCTCGAGTCTCTGAAAGAAACTCCAATGGATACATGCTATGCTCTGATGGATCAGTTTTTGGGACAAACTCATAGTTGAACTGTCCTCGACCGCCAACAACTATTATGCGACCATCAGGAAGGATTTGGTTGCTGGCATACCACCGTGGCATGGCAAGGCCGTCAGGCAACTCAGCCCAGTCACAGGTGGCACATGGCGAGAATGTGCGCACAACGCGCTCGCCATCGTTAGATCCACCTGTCTGAATCAAATGGCCATCAGGCGCCAGTGCGCCAGATGAACACCAAGTGTCCGTCAGTATGGTGAGAGGACGAACACCATGCGTGACCCAGTTGAGCTCGACAGAGTGTGCCCAGCAATCAGTCTGAAGAGCCCGGTCGTGACGGTCTTTGCGACAGCGGCCATTTGGCAGGGACACATTAGACGGCCCAAAATCGGTCCTGTCGAACATTATCACCCGATTGTTTGGTAGCAATGCCATGTGCATGGCCGAGATGCCAATGCTACGCTTCAAAAGCTTCCATTGACCACCTCCACTGGCTAAGGCAAGGACACAACAAGCTGCAAGTATAAGCAGTGCAAGTGGAAGGTGTGAAAGTGTGGCCATGGCGAGCCTGGTGCGTTGCTTGGAGTGAGGCTGGCCCTTCATAAATAGTGTGCACGTGTGGTTTTAAATAGCCGGCACAACCGATGCCAACGCGGTCCAGGCTCATGATTGCGACACCCACGGTCGAATCACTCTGTCATTACGAATCCTTTTTTCTAAGAACCAGCTGTTACATGGGGGATGTGATTTTGCATTCCAAGTTCGTGGAAAATGTGCTTTGGGAGTATCCTACCACTGGTGATGGGCGAGGTGGCCCCGCCCACTCGGCTTTGGCCCCAAAAAAGTGAGGCCCGAACCGCAAAGCTGGGTTAGGGCTAATGTTGATCTTGACCTGGTTCAACCCGGTCCAGCACTCTTTCCTTTCTTATGTTATTTCTTTTAGGGTTTTTTTTTACCCAGCCCAGGGAACTGACCTATGGCAATGAGGGGGAATCCGAGCCAAGGCAGACCGGACCCGTCGACGCCCGTGGCTAACCTTACCCAAACAAGGAAACGATTGAGGGATAAATTTTTGGGGTGCTTGCAGCTGCAAGTATTCACAGGGAATTGACACACTCCAAATGAGTCAGTTTTGACTTTCATCTCCAGCTTCTGAAGTTAAATAATATTTGCTGAACTTTTACTGAGAGTGGAAACAGGAAGAGTTAGTAAGAATAATATTTTGCTGAACCTTTACCTAGTGTGGAAAAAGGAAGAGTTAATGTGAGAAAGTAGAGAAACACATGCGGTTTCAATAGACTCACCAAAATTCTCTCGGTTCCCAAAAATAACCGTATCGGTTTTCCCATCTCTGCCAAATGAAAATGTTGCCAGATTGGCCGGTTCCGCTTGAAAGAAGAGTTCGAAAAGTCGAGCAGGCTAAGTTACTAGGGTTGGAACCTTTTAGAGCCCCCGACTTTGTCCCAAGTAAAAAAAACTTAAAAAAAAATTAAAAAAAATATATATTTGTTCCATATTTATTTATGTTTTCTGTCATTTTGGCAAACAACGAGGAGTATTTAGGACATGAATACCTATTTTTACATTTTTTCCATCTTTTTTTGAGCATTTGAAAATATCCACGATCACAAACTCTTTTTTTAAAAAAAAATTTTGTTTTTTTTTTTTCCACAATTAGTTATGTTTTGTTGAATTTTATTTTGAATATATTTTTTCTATTTTTGAAAATTTTCTTTTTTTTAATAGTTTTCAACTGCTACAGTTTCGACCCTATTACTTACTCGAGCAAGAATTCTTCTACGGAATGGGCCAAGTAGTCGGCCGGAGTCGACTTTTGGAACGTTGCTTGAAAGAACATGAGATTTAGCTCGATTTATGTGCATGCGTCATTACTCACTACTTCGAAAATTCGGCCTTGTGTAGGTCACTATGACTCAATTTTTATAAATCTAGAATGTCATATTTTTGTTAACTTTTATACACTTCTATTTTATTTTATTTTGTTTTTCTTAAAAAAATTTATTGGAAAAATTATGTTTGGATAGGGTCTCAACGCTTATATTACATAATGAGTCACATGTTTACATAAATTACGTGTCGACCATCCCAACCCAGCAACCCATTTTTTTCCAAAATTGCCCACTTGTCTGACATTTCTACCACCATAAGGGTGGGAAATCTCTCAAATTTCAGCCATATCTATTGGTAAGGGCCACTCCTACACTATAAATACTGAACATAAAATGTTGTCTAGTGATTCTAATAACGGATAATTCAACTTAAAAAAAAGTTATCTTACTCAAGGCTTGTCGGATATTTGAAATATCAACCATCCTTACCGTTCTGTATTTCTAGTATCGGACAACTCAACTTCTGAAGTTGTCTGGTATTTGAAATACTGAACTTATTATAAGTAATTATTATTACTTAGAGATCTGCCATTTAATTAGTGCAATAGTGCAATGAAAACAACAAACATACAATTTTGTCTAGTGTTTCTAATACCGGATAATTCAACTTAAACAAAAATTGTCTTACTCAGGGCTTGTCAGATATTTGAAACGTCGAACACCCCTACCGTTTTGTATTTCTAGTATCAGACAGCTCAACTTCCAAAGTTGTCTGGTATTAGAAATATTGAACTTATTATAAGTAATTATTATTACCTAAAGTTCTGCTATTTAATTAGTGCGAAAGAATTTATGTAAAGTGATTAATGTTCTTTACTTTTATTTGTTAATTACAATTTTTATTTGAATGCACTTTATTTTCGAATAAAATTTCTTTAGCTAGAATTTAGCATACTAGAATATTCTTCTATTTTGAAATATTTTGTATATAAACGTTTAATTAGAATACAAATTGTAATTTACTTCATTTTATTTTCTATTTTTACAATTAGAATATAAAACTCATCATCAAAGTCATATCTCAGCTATTTGTGGTTGGCAATTGGAATACGAAACTATATGAATAAACCAACAGAATAGTATAATAGATATCTAAAATAGAGTAGAAAAAATTGAATAGAAATTTTATTAATAGAAAAGAAAAAATTCAAATAAAAAATAAAGAAAAATCCATTAAAAAATAAAATACAATCAAAATACAATTAATAATAATGAAATAATAAATCAATAGAATTATTTACATTACTAAATTCTATTATACTCATTATTTAATATGATTTTTAATAAAAATAAATACTAATATTAAGTCCAGTTTTTAATGCTAGACAGTTAGGAAGTTGAATTGTCAATTATTAGAAACACTGAATAGCGTGGCAATTTGGTGTTTGTTGTAATAGATATGCCATTACTAATAGAGATTACAAAACACTTAGGGGGAGTCCCTGATAGATGTTGGAAATGCCAGATAGATGGGCAGTAACCCTGAATAGCGTGGCAATTTGGTGTTTGCTGTACTAGATATGCCATAATTAATAGAGATAACTTGGAGAGTCCCTGCCTGTCTCATATTGGAAATGCTAGATAGATTGGTAGTTCTGCACCCAAAAAAAAAAAAAGTATTAAACTATAAGCACGTTTTTTCATTCTCTTTATTATTTAGGTCCATGTATACTACTTGGCTGAGTACAACGACAAATTTCATAATAAAGGTATTAAAGCTGTAAGCAGGTTTTTTCATTCTCTTTATTATTTAGGTACTTTTGAGCCATTTATACTACTTGGCTGAGTACATTCGAACTCAGATGAGTCGCTCAACTCGGAATAGTGTTGAGCCCGAGGCCTCAGACGCGTTTAAAACTTTGATATTCACCATCTATGATATGGGCTTTGCCCAACTGCTAACCTAACATCTCTCTCCGTATCCTAATCCCCCCTCTCCTCTCTCCCTCTCACGGCCTTAATATCCGTGTCTCATCACCCCACACCTCACAAGTAGTGTTTGTGAAGGCATGAGCTTTGTTTATAATGGTACGAGAGGCGGTGGACCACACATAATGTCATGGAAGTAGGTGGTGCATTTGTCATTTTAGATGTGTTGAAATAATGAATTTTAAGCTTTTTTGAAATTTATTCTCCTATCCCGTAAAATTATGGAATTTAATTTAAAAGCAGCGGGGGGGGGGCACAGGTTGTGGGGGCTCTCGGTGTGATTTATGCAAAGAAGTGATACTAAAGTTGTTGAAACCATGTCAGTAAGCAGGTTTTTTTAGTTCTGTTTATTAATTATGACCTTCCGAGCACTGTGTACTACTCTGCTGAGTCCACTTGAACTCGGATCACTCAACTTGGACTAGGGTTGAGCACGGGGTCAGAGACGAGCTTAAAAGCCTTGATATTCATCATCTATGATACGGGCATTGCCCAAGTTCTAACCTAACATCTATCTCTCCCTAATCCTGATCCCCTCTCCTCTATCTCTACCACCACACAAGTAGCATTCATGAGGTATTCATGAGGTATGAGGGGGAGGGGGAGGGGGAGGGGAAGGGGGACGGGTAGGGTGTGTGTTTTCCTTGTAAAGGCATGTGCTATGTTTGTAAAGGCATGACAGAGAAGGACGGTGGACCACACATAATGTAAGGAAAGGAAGTAGGTGGTCCAGGGAGTAGGTGGTCCATTTGTCCTTTTACATGTGATGAAACAACGATTTTAAGTTTTTTCGAAATTTGTTCCCCAATCCCTTAAAATTATTGAATTTTAAAGAATGACTTCTTGCATTGTGTTTATTTCAAGGGAAAAATTTATATAGGGCTGCATCCTTACATCAATACTTACATCAATACCTAACGATGCTGCCTTATAAGCCGTCCAATATTTTGGATGGTGCATATTTCACATTTGATCTTCATACGCCAATACTTCCAACTGGAAGCAACCGGTTACCCTTCCAGTTGTCTATCTCTCTCTCTTTCTTTCCACCCTACGCCTCTCTCTCTCTCCACCCTACACCACTCTCTCTCATCAAAACGATGGCGGTTTTGCATTGCATGATTCTCTCGTATGGATCTTGATCAATGATATAAAATGAAAAAGTGGAAACTTTTCTAGGTGAAAGCTCCTTTGTAGTTTTTAAAGGCAGTTTTTAGTGGTGTCAATGGTGGTGTTTTAGGCTCCCTTTCTCCGCACTGTCTTAAGAAAACAACCTTACCTTTTCTGCTCTCTTTGCAAAGTCCATGACAGTTTCGCATAAGCCCCATTTGTATAAAAATAAATAAAAAATAAAAGAACCATCTTTTTGTGGTTTCGGGTTTGGCCTCCGGTTTCCAACCGGGAATACCCTGAGCTTCAATAACACTCAAGGCATTCCTCTCTAATTTCAACTCCATGCCATTGGTAAGAACAAGTCAAATCTACCCACCAAGACCAACTGGCTTTTTCACAACACCTTTGTAAGGACCCGAAATTTTTGGCATAGTGGAAGACACCGCCATGGGTGACTACGAAGTCGTCGTGTGAGCATGAGGATGTTGTCGTGTGCGACACCGCCATGTGCGATGCTGCCATGCACGACACCACCATTCACGTTGCCGCCGTGCTCGACACCGTCGTATGCGTTGCTGCTGTGCACCTTACTGCCATGTAGGATGTAGCCGTGCGCATTGCCGTTGTGCACAACACCACAATACGCGTTGCAAATGTGAGCGTTGCTGACCAGGAGGAAGCCGCCGTGTGCGTTGCTACCAAGGAGGAAGCCGCTATGCGCGTCACTGTCGTGTGCGTTAGCACCGAGCATGACACTGTCGTGTGTGTTGATGCCAAGAGTGAATG